CATTGGTTGCCTGGTGCTAGGCTGTTAGTACTCTTAAATGTTTGGGAAGGAGGTAGGCTTGGACAGAAATGGTTACACAGACATGAATTTTCAAAATGAAGGTGTGTCTTAAAGATGACGATAATATCACTGAATCGACATCGATGCAGATCGATGTATTGTTACACTCCTAATAATTACCCGCAACTACTGCAGTCATTTTTGCCAGGTACGAACTCCGATTGTAACATCTGCCTTTAAAGACAGATGACAGATGTTAGTGCGATTTTTAGGGCTGCAACTAAATTATTATTTTGATTAATCATTTATTCATTAATTCTATGCCATGGTGTAAAAGGCCCATCACGAGGTCTGAAATTCCAAGTTGATGTCTTCAAATGTTCTGTCTGACCAAATTTCAAAACCCAAAGACTTTCCAATTTTTTAATATAATAACATACAACACAGAAATTGATAGTCAAAGTTGTTGCACAGTTATGTTCTGTTGGTTGGCTAACTATTTTCCTTACAAAGCAGGAAAATACAACCGCACACCTGTCCAAGCTTCTCTCTTTCACTGAACTAAAACTGACATAACCTTACTCATCGTAAAACACACGTCATTCAAACTCGACAGAAACCAAATAAAACTCCCCAAAACCATCTCAGTTGGTCTTGCCCATCATCTGGTTAGTTAGTCCACTAATCTAACAATCACCAGCTCTGGTTTGGTCGAAATAAACCCTTAATTCACTAGTTAGGTGTGAAAATATGCTGATCTGCACGCTGATTATCCTCGCAGTCTCTGCCCGACAGCTGTCCACTGAGCAGCAGCTCTCACTCGTTCTTCGGAGGCAGCTACAGTAACGTTACATCACCTTTCATCCAACATGCAGTTAAAGGCAACTAAAGAAACAGAGAATTAACAGATGCAGTTATATTTAAAAATAGAGGATCATTGCAATAATCATTCTACTTCTATGATCAGGACACTCCATTAAAGAAGAAATACAGCTCAGCTACAGTCCTGGCAGCAGCCTCCTAAAATCTTCTTTAAACCAAGATCACCTTCCTCCACATGTGACTTACAAACCAAAACAAATATTATCTAGGTACTGAGATACTATCAAGAAACCCAGCCAAGCCTGTTAATCATCACAATGTGTAAATAATGTCACATAACTTGATTAAAGAGCATGTATCTCTCTTAGTGGGTCACGAGTGATGATTGAGAGGGATTACTTTTGTATGAGATATTTTTTTTAGGGAAAATCCTGCATTGTATAGCTTTCAGTTCAGTGCACTAACATTGAAATTAAATATAGCCCTGTTGCTCCAATGCACAAGTTTATATTCCAAGAATATTTCATCAATGAAATCTGTACAAAAAAGCATATCTGCATGGCTCAACGGTAAATGTGACCACCCTAACCCTAACTAACCAACAGGCAAATGAGAAAGCTGCAGTTGAACTGATTTACTCCGCTGAAAACTGTCAAACAGGCTTGTTCTTTCCCATCACGGAGAACCAATGCAGGTTCCTATAGTCATTTAGTTTTCTTTAAAGCGCCTTGTGACACCTAAAGTTCCATCATGACAGACTCAAGCCTTAAAGATCAGTCAAACTCTAAAATAACCTTGCTGACTGTCTCAATCTCCCACTGACACTGTGTTTCATCTGCTCCTCAGTCTTTACGGTGTGACTGCTGACTCAGATAAGATTATCAGCTATTGAACTCCTCCCGTATCTGGCTGGCAGGGCACAAGCCCAACACCAAGTGATGTCATATACTGGTCACCTGTGCACCTTATCGCAATCTGATATACTGGAGGTGAGCAGGATGGCCGTCAGGCTGCATTTCAGCTTTGCACAATACAAAATTCATGATGAAATGTGAATATATCTTAAGCCTTAGTGTACAGGACAGAGTTCTGCAAAGTTAAATGGCTTCATCATCTGAGATTACGTAAAAGGTAGTAAAAAGAGATCGAAAAGATGATCTGCTCACACACACGTCTTCACATGGAAAGTCAAGAGTTTCACTTTCAACATAAAATCTTGACAAACATTTTCTTTGGAATGGAATGGAATCAGGTGACATTAGATGCCGAGAGAGCGCTCTTGAAAGCACAGGGGAAGCCCTTGTTTGAAGTGAGTCAAACTGGGAATGCATGAAAACTTCCAGAAATTCCTATTGCAATATCTAAAAATTTTTTAAAAAGAATTACTAGAGATGATAATACATTTACTGATCTGGGTTGATGCAAAGATTGACTTACGTAGCTGATCACATCACAGTTTTGTAAAATATCCCTAACAAGTAGTAGCAGGTTAGTTAGTAGCAGGAGTCGGCATCTCACCTCTGACTGCTCTCAAAACAAGACAACGATGTAAGCCTAAATTTGATGGCCACTTTTATTAATATACAGCCTAATTATCAGGACTCACAGAACAGTCTCTGAGTTATGGTCAATCACATTTGTTCATATAGGCCTGTACTGTTGTACATCTAAAGCAAAGCTACCAACCAAGCCCACGTTAATGTCCAGGGCAAACCCCTGCTGCCCTGTGCCTATGGACCTGCCCCTCCCTTATAAAGCCAGGAATATATGCCATAATAGAAAACATTACAAAGACGTAAACACATACAGCAGCTGACTTTGCATACCATCAGCTGATTGATGGCGCAGCGGAGTCAAGCGCTATATATGTTTATGTCAACTGAGGCATGAATCACAAACTTGGAACTGCACAACCCTGTGAACTTCACTAGTTAACAAGCAAAACAATAAACAACTAGTTCAACATAGTTCATTTCATTGTTATTTTGACCATTTTTCAGTTAAACAATACCTTCTGAACGTTACAAAAACATAAAGCTATTTATTGTTAAGCATATATGTTTATATTATTAGAGATACTGACTCACAACTAGACTTGCACTGATTTATCGGCAGTGATTGGAACCGGGACGGTTTTCACGTGATCGGCATGACCTGCGACCGGCCAGTCAGTCTAAAATGTGCCGATTTAAAACGCCGGTCAACTTCCCGGCGCGCCGCATGATTGACATTGTGTAACATCAGCAGCGCACACACACGCACATGTGCAACTCACAGCTTGGGCGATGTGAGGAAATGAAACATGGGCGGCTTCTCACCTTAATCATTCACGCACCCACATCAAAAGAGAGAAGGAGAAAATTGTTAATTGTCCGTGTTAAACTGAACTGCGGAGCTCTCACTGCTGTGCTGTGCCACTTAAAACTGATGAGGCGCATATCCGCGTTCCGAAGATGCGATGGCGAAGATTCCTGAAGACCTGTGTGAATTTTCCACAGGAGATATTTTTACTTTTTTGTCTTTTAAAGAAATTACCCACAAATGCTATACACCAAGAATTATTATTTTATTCATCAATGTTTTTATTTCTGTAAGCTATGCCTTTTTTACTTATTTATTTTAATACTGTACCTGACGTTGTATTTGGGCAAAAAGGAAAATGTTTCTTAACCTGTGTCACTGTTTTTGTTTGTTTGTTTGAGATAATTATTGAAAAGCTGCTTGTATGTTGGTTAAAATGTTCTAATAAAGCAAAGATAGAAAATATTGCAATATCTTGTGTGCTGTAAAGTGGTTTGAAAAAAATGAAATCGGAATCGGCCACCCAAACACTCTGCAAATCGGAAATCGGTATCAGCCCAAAAAAATTATAATCGGTGCGAGCCTACTCACAACACACCTTTTCAAACTGCCATATTAGGTCTGATTTAATGATGACGCACATAGAAACTTGCAATGATGATGACTTCATACCTTATTTCATAATTATGACTTTTGACTAGTTATTTCACTAACCTATTACTGTATATTAGTGAACTGTCTGACTTTATGATGTATGGATTCTTTGCTGCTTGCTCTTTTGAACTGTACCTTGTAAGGCGTCCTTGAGTGCTTTGACAGGTGCCTATAAATAATATGGATTACTAGTATTATTGTTATTGTTATTATTATTATTATTATTATTATTATACGTTCAAGGTAAGTGCTGGGCAGTGAAGAATAGGTGAAGTGTTGGGAGGAGCAGTGCTGTTGCTGCAGCAAAACATGACTGGTTACAAACACCTTGGCAGCTTGTGGCTAACATTAAATGCTATCTGCTTAGATTACATTTCATGTGTACTGACTGATTTCACGGGCTTCAACAGAGATACTAGACATAAAAACAGGGGCTTGCGGTTGTGATTGCCCTCTAAGGTCACTACACACACAACAGGGCATACAGTAGCTATCCACCTGGCACTGCATGCATTTGTGTTTGATACACACTGAGGGTTGATTCTGGACATTAATGTCGCTTCATAGCAACTTATTAGATTAATAGGACCAATAGCAGTTTGTGGGTGTGTGCTAGTTTAAATATGATATTGTACCGTTTGAAATACCATTACACTGCCAAGCTAACATAACATAGCTAACCATTGACACCATATGACAAAGTCCGCTAAGCTGTCATTAGCTAGTTATAGCTAGTGTAGCCTGTACCATGCTAGATTAGCTCGCCTGGGACCAGACTAAGCACTGGAGGCTAACGTGTCCTTTGACTGTTCACATTAATATCACCTTAAATTTGCTTCATTCAGAATCGGTTTGCTAACGTTGGCGGTGGCCAAGTTACTTTGAAACTTCAGTTGATGGGTCAGGTTTTTATTTTGACAATGGTCCGTCTGAACGCTGCCGTTATTGCACAACACACTTCATGTTGCATGAACCGACTGGCTGTTTTTGGAAATGCGTTTCTGTGTTAAATACCAATCCACTGACCACATGCTGAACTCCATTCCTCTTTAACACTGCTCCCTCCACGCAAAGGCCTGGCTTGCTAGTATGTTGATATGAGCTAACGTTAGCTGGCTTGCTAATGTTAACTTAACAGTTAGCTGTCGTTGGTGCCAACGCAATTCCCCAGCTTGTCAAACTCAAGCTAATGACGTTAGCGCACATACTAGCATGCTACTTACGTTTTCCTGCTGTTGCGAATGTAGATCCAATCTTGATTATCTGCTGGATTCTGCTTTTGTGTGAAGATATGTCGGTAACCTAGCTATCTACGGAGCTAACGTTAGCTAGCTAGCTATGTTATGTTTCCTTATTTGACAAAAATAATCGAGATTGGCCTCAGATGAGCGGCGATAATTCCTTTCTCGGTGGTTCCCTGCTTGGACAGCGTTGATTTTTACGCATGTTTGACGCCAGTTCTGTCTCTCACATAAAATGAAGACTATTCCGATCGTTCCAAAACAAATATGGACACTGAGAATTGGTTATATTATACAACACTGACAAATCTAGCACTTTCTTCAATTGAAAGGCCAGAGCTATCCTTCGACTTTGGGTGCTGAACAAGAGGAGGTGTTATTTTTGGCATATGTTCTGTGATTGGTTCGAACGTCAAGGCGAAACGTCGGCTAATTGGCTGCTTCGTCTGTCAATTAGCTCTGCCCCTGTCCAAAGCGACGTTCTGATTGGTCTATTACCGAAGTTCTATAATGCACTGGAACTGTGGAATACACTCGTAACTGATTTTGGCGTACGCCGAAGCTAGCCTGGATAGGCGGGGTCAGTGTTGAAATACAACCATTCAGCGCCGCGACGGGAGCGGATTCACCACAGCCCGGCGGACAAGGCTCTAAATATGAATAAAATCAAAGGTGGCACAGCTGAGATTGAAATGCGCTGTTGTTCCCGTCCGCTATATGTTTGGAAATTACTGCACACGGGTGCTCTCGAGTCAAAAACAAGCGCAACATGATTCAACTACAGCAGGGATGCTTCAAATAGGAGTCTTGTCTTTATATATTGTGTGTCATATTGTTGAAGGTCTTGAAAGAAAAGTTCAAAATTCCAATGTCTTGCTGTGGATTTTTTCAGTAATAAAATGTATTAGGTTTCATCCATTCTGAATTTATTTATTCATTTTTCTTTTAGTTTTAATCAACAATAATTTAAATTGTTGCTGATATTTGTTGGTATGTTTCAGCTTGCATCAGACAATTTTGTTGTTGCACTGTAATGTTTATGAAACTTTTCATTGTTTGCATTTTAAAAACTGTACTTCTCCCTGTTGGTACCGCGTTGTATAATGTGCTTTGGTAACACTGTTTCAATATGGTAATGCCAATGAAGCCTCTTTGAATTGAATTGAAACTCAATTGCACAAAATTATGATAACTATAATAACACCCTTTTCCACCTTACAGCTTTTCAAATCAAATGAAAATGTCTTTCTCCTGCAGTTGAATTGTTTGTCCAGTTTTTCTTCGTAGTTCCAGTTTCTAACAGAAGGAAGAATTATTTCATTTCACTTTAATTCACTAGAAATTGTGCCATTTTAAGAAAGTACAAATAACTAGTAGGTTTCAGTATAAAAAACTAAATACTGTCAACAATAATTAAGTAATAATAAAGTGTCTTAGCTGTTACCGTTGCTAATATTGGTCCAGTGTGTTGCCATATCAAACTACAAACATTATAATCCGTAAATAAACAAGTGTCATCCATAAAATGTGATCAGGCTTGTCCACTTGGACAGCAGCAGGGGATGGCTGGGATAACAGCCATCTTGTTTTTACTGTGATAACTGTATTGTGCTCTTACTGCCACTAGATGGCACAAAGGTGTCCACGAATAAGGACAATAGGTGATTTCTCTGATAACTTAGGCCATGTTTACGCGATAATGATGTTTTCCGATCCTGCTCGTCACAAAGGGGCTTCTTGTTACGATGGACTGCGCATAAATGGCCCTATCTAGAGTCAGTGTTTGGTTTGTCCATTCTGCGCTACTGTAGAAACATGGCAGTGCAACATGACGATCTCCGTAGACAAGGACCCGCTCCGTATAAACAGCTCAACACAAAAAACGTCATCATTCTTATTTTCAGGTGATTATACACTGAAGAAAACATACGTATAATATTACAGTTCCATTTCTGCTAACATATCCCCCTAAATTCTTCACACTGGACCTTTAACATGCTTTGGCAACATCGTAACGCTGTAAACTGCGGCCTTGTTTAAATAAATACCTCATACATGTTATTGATTGTATCACCTCCTCAGTTTAATTCATGATACTCTGTGTTTTTAATCAAACCATAAAACTCGTGTTTGTTAATTTTGTGAGCTAACACCTGTTCCTAAAAATATTCATCTCTGAAAACAGAATAATGCCAAGCTAATAGTTTTGACCTTCTTGCACCTGCTCTCTGCGTGAAAGACCTGAAAAAGTCACAGCCAAAATCACGCGCCTCGACTGCACTGCACAAAAATGTCCTCTTCATTTTAGTCAGCTTACATCGTCTGGGACAAACTGCAACATTTGAACGCTGACCTTGTTGTGTTATCGTACGACACGTGTCACTACAGAATCTGGTTAGGTGGAAAAGAGGAGCTCAATCCAGCTATTACACACATCTGCAATAATTCAAACTGACACTGAACCTGGGACTGGATCATCAATGGGCACAATGAGGAGCTGCCCTCTGGGGGAAGTGTGAACAGGTTCAGCAAAGAAAAACTGCACATGTTAAGAAGAAAATGGGAGGTATGGAGGGGCAGCTCATTTTTGCCCTGCAGCCACCCAGCAGGTTAATCTAGCCCTGACTGTACCTGCAACACATAGTTCAGTTTGAGTCACGTTTTCTCTTCCTCAATAATAATAATCATAATAATATTGTTATTGTACAGCCATGGGTGGATTATGAGACAATGGGCCCCTGGGCCCCAAGAATGCAGAAGGCCCCACCACCTCTCGAACAGATGAGCAAGACAGTAGGCCTCTTTTTGTTGCTTGCGTCACTTTGTAGTTGCTACGCATCTTCCTGCGGTTTTGTGTCTCTTAGTGGTTGTTTTAAGTCTCTTTTAAGTTGCTTTGTGTCTCTTTGCAGCCATTTTGAGTTTCATTGTAGTTGTTTTATGTCTCTTTGTAGTTGTTTATGTTTCTTTGTCGTTATCTTGAGTCTCTTTGTAGTTATTTATGTCTCTTTGTAGTCATTATGTGTCTCTTTGTAGTTATGTCTCTTTGTAGTCATTATATGTCTCTTTGTAGTTATGTCTCTTTGTAGTCATATAGAGTCTCTGTAGTTGTTTTGTGTCTCTTTGTCGTTATCTTGAGTCTCTTTGTAGTTGTTTATGTCTCTTTGTAGTCATTATGTGTCTCTTTGTAGTTATGTCTCTTTGTAGTGATTATATGTCTCTTTGTAGTCATATAGAGTCTGTGTAGTTGTTTTGTGTCTGTTTGTAGCATTATGTATCTCTTTGTAGTTATGTCTCTTTGTAGTCATTATATGTCTCTTTGTATTTATGTCTCTTTGTAGTCATTATGTATCTCTTTGTAGTTATGTCTCTTTGTAGTCATTGTATGTCTCTTTGTAGCATTATATTTCTCTTTGTAGTTGTTTTGTGTCTCTTTGTAGCATTATATTTCTCTTTGTAGTTGTTTTGTGTCTTTTTGCAGTTGTTTATGTCTCTTCATAGTTAATCTGAGTGTCTTTGTAGTTGTTTATGTGTCTTTGTAGTCATCTTGAGTCTCTCTGTAGTTGTTTTGTGTCCCTTTGCAGTCATTTTGAGTTTCATTGTAGTGGTTTTGTGTCTCTTTATAGTTGTTTTATGTCTCTTTGTAGTCAATTTGCGTCTCTGTAGTTGGTTTGTGTCTCGTTGTGGTCGTTTTAAGTGTCTCTGAAGTTGCTTTGCATTTCTTTGTAGTCATTTTGAGTTTCATTGTAGTTATTTTGTGTGTCTTTGTAGTTGTTTTGTGTCTGTCTGTAGTCATTATGTGTGTCTTTGTAGTTAATTTGAGTTTGCTCTTTGTTGTTTTATGTCTTTTTGTAGGCAATTTGAGTCTTTTTGTAGTTGTTTATGTCTCAATTTGTATCTTTTTAGTTGTTTTTGCCTCTTAGTGGTCGTTTCAAGTATTTTTAAAGGTGCTTTGCATCTCTTTGCAGTAATTTTGAGTCTCGTTTTAATTGTTTGTGTCTTTGTAGTCATTTTGATTCTAATTGTAGTTGTTTTGTGTTTCTTTGCAATTATTTTAAGTCTCTTTGTAGTTGAGTCTCTTTGTAATCATTTTGAATTTCTTTGTAGTTGTTTTGTGTCTCTTTTTAGTCATTATGTGTCTCTTTGTAGTTTTATGTCTCATTGTAGTCATATTGAGTTTCTATGTATTTTTTTGTGTCTCTCTGTAGTCATTATGTGTCTCTTTGTAGTTGATTTGAGTCTCTTTGTAGTCATTTTGTATCTTGTTACAGTTGTTTTCGTGTCTCTTAGTGGCCATTTTGAGCCTCTTTGAAGTCCCTTTGCATCTCTTTATAGTGGTTTACATCGCTTTGCAGCCATTTTATTCTCCTTTTTAGTTGTTTTTTCCCCCTTTTGTAGTCTTTGAAAGTCTCTTCGTCTCTTTGCATGTGTTTGGCATCTCTTTTCAGTTGTTTTTTGTCTCTTTGTGGTCATTTTGAGTCTCCTCCAGGTTGGTGCCTCTTTATTCAGATGACATTTTGCTGTTGGACGCCAGGAAGGGCCCTGACACTTTGGGCCCTGGGGCCTTTCTTTGCCTTGTAGGCATGTTCAGCAATCCATCCATGTGTACAGCCGAGTGCAACACCATGAATGCCTTTGTACAATTCATATTGTTGAGACTACAGCCACGTGCAAAAGAGTTCTCTGAGAGATATCAGGCAGTGTGATGCAGCGGGAGGAGGCTATGACCTGCACACAAGGCCTTTCAGAACAGGCATAAACACTTTAACCATAAGATAGTCAGGCAGGTGCTTTTCGAGACGAATGAACCCTTTTATGTGCACTGTTGGACTTATTTAAAAACCAGCAAAAAGATTACACACATTGGTAGATTTCTGAGAGGCCGGGACCAATTCTTGTACTTCCAGAGGATAAATAAAGATGATATTTCATTCATTCAAATAACAAAGATGTGCAAAAATAAAATGTAGGCTGGAGTGAATAAAACTGGGAAAGGGAGATTAAAGCATGAACATGAGTATAAGTGTGTGTATAAAGATGTTTAGTTAGATAGTGTATCAGTGGATCAGAGTTATGATGTGTGTGTGAGTGTGAGTGTGTATGTGTGTGAGGGGAAAGCAGGGCTTATCCGTTGTCATTTTGTGCTTCTCCCTCAGGATTAGACTTGTGTCTTATTAATGAAAAACTCATCAGATATCAGAGCAGTTCCCCAAGGAACCAAGCAGGGTTATGAGACACAGGTCAGATTAAGACCCCGTTTAAATACTGCGTGTGTGTGTGTGAGTGTGTGTGAGCATGTTACAGACAGACAGAGAGTGTGAGTGAGCAACAGAGTGGTATTTAATTTTCCAAGATGGGGGATTATCAC